GCTCCGGACTGGAGTAACCCACGCGGAGGTCAACAGATGACATAGAGACGAGACATGACGAAATACACAGAGTGATTAGCTAGAATATGTGTCTCACACCGTTCAAGCTGAGGTCCAAAAGACTCTGCAACTGATTGACTGGAGATACTAAAGGATTTGGTAGCGAACCGACAGCTGTGGAGTTCTTGCCATTTCTTATCAGGCCAGAATGCCTGAAACGGTATGTATGCACAGTTAGGTTGTGTACTCTGTATGTTGACGATAAAGGTTCACCTTCTTCCCCCTCAAAATAGGTCCAATCCCTGTTCACCTTACCTATTAACACCAACCTCGTATGCATTGCGAGTTTGTCAGCGATTAGTGAAGTTCGCTCCACTGTATTTTGTTGCACGATGATGATGATTATCAACTGAACAGTGTGAATTTCCCTATCATTCTCGTAAAAGGAAATGCACTGAAGTAATTCCCTTGGATCGTCGACAAGCACAGAGTGAAACCCAGCGTGAGATGTACTTAGTTCATCTCCCAGTCATAAATAGTTTTGCAGAGAACCGGATGGAATGTCAATGAGAAGGAAACTACTATCTACCATTCACGAAGTTGCAATTCTCTTAAAAGGTACAGGGGTTGGTGTAATTTTTTTAATGGTCGCCGCACAAACGAATTACTGTGAAGGGAAAAAAGCAATACCTACCAGCAAATCAGTCAGTACTTCGGCACGGTACTCAGAGGCAAAGGTTAGTTCATGACGCTTTCTGTTATTATCGACCACAATGAGTGCGAGACGCTGTAGCTGGGGTTGACTGGACTTGACATTGGGATCTGGGCGAACACTATAAACTTCAGCATAGGGCCACTAAAAACAGAACAGAGGAGAGACCATAAAAGAAGGAAGAATTTAAATGAGACAGATTACAACGGTTTATTCAATTCTAACCGAATTGCTGCCCTAAGCCTCACCTGGTTAGTAACTCGCAGAGTATCTTTGTTGTAAGTTGTTATCCCCATGGTTCCGATTGTTAGAAGACGTTTGTAACTGGAAGAAGAGAAAACGAAAGTCGTAATATAAATCAATTCAATCAATTATGATAAAATCAAACATGAGAAGTCATTTCATGTATCAGCTTGACGAACAACTTGAAATAAACAAAATTATCATCAGATTTGGTGGCATTTTATGCCACATTATTGTTGGTAAGACTACCGCCAATTAAATCCTTGCACTTCTAGCTTCAGCAGTATCTCATCAAGATTTTCAGAATTATTTTATTATTAATACACTTTTGAAAGGAGATGTTCACGAACACTGTACATTTTCTTCTCCAGTTGCCTTCGCTTCGCCTCCAACACTCAATCACAAGAATATGAATGCAATCAATTGGGTTGGTCAGCGTGATCCCAAGCCATTCGAACCCTCAGAAATATCGCTGTCTATGGCTTCTACTTGCAGTCGTCAGAGTGGTGGTGGTGTAGAAGGCGGTAGTTCCGAGGCGTTTAGAGCACTGTCATTGATTTCTATCAGTCCGTAAGGTCAGAGGTCCAGATTGTGTTAGTGCGGCCTGATGTGGTTCGCCACTGCAAGTCCTATGGCTTAGGTTGCTAGTTTCCGTCACAAAATAACAGGTCTACACGACTATGGGATCCACACCGTCTGTTATTCACCACATGAATCGTGTGTAATAAAAATACCTCATTTCCATGATAGAGAGCTTTCTTGTAGTCCAAATCAATGAATCACTGGTCCCACTGGGATTTCACGTGCTGTCAAAAACTTTTAGTGTATGATCCATATCGAAAACTGAAGGCGATGACCATACCAACTATAGGGACATGTCTAGGTTCAGTCACAACCAAACTTCTGGTATTCGCCTTACACTATAGGTTATCCAGAACGTATCAATAGCTAATTCGGAGGGATCGGGATAAGTTTCACGCTGATTACTTAGTTTACTTCACTACGGCTGGCTCCTTGGAAAGGATAAGCTGGCTCCATGAATGTCTCTGATTGCCGCCGTAGAAGATATGATCATGAAGATACTTGGGAGTTTAGTACGAGAGACGTCCCTAGCGTCACCCGGCGTTTTTTATTTTGAGGGCGCACCTCTAGCCTTTGCACAACCAAGTGCGAACTAAAATACATCAGGAATCAAGCCCTGACCTCGGAAGTGAGGGGGTTAATGACTTTAGTTTTAAAAGGCCAGTTACACTGACCTTTGTTACGACACCGTCATTGGGCTTATGCGGCTTTGAACAGGAGCCAAGTAACCGGCCCGAAACCCACCACCCCCTGGAAGTGATGTCGCTGTTTGATCGAGACTGCTTATTTGTTGCGGTTGCCACAACTTATTCACAGCTAACCTTCTTCGGTGAAGGTATCTCACTATCCACAACCCGGAGACGCGCCTGATAGCATTCAGCTCTGCTCAACCGAGAAGTACTGTGGACGAGCTGGTCAGGTTCTTCCGAAAGAAGTGCACTGCACAATTTTAATCTTTTGAATGGTGTCCGAGAAGTGGGTTACTGTAGCGGCGCACGTGCGACCGAGTCTTACGCCATTTCCGTTTGCGGTGGAGTTCGACGGATTCATCATACATAATCATTTCTTTATTAATTCGGCACAATTCGACACTTTTCTAGCTTCACTATCTGTGGAGATTATGCCAAGAAAGGTCGATCAGCTGCAAAATGCTGAAAACATCGCTCTTCGCTACGATCGCGATACCTTGGCACGACGTATGCTTTGTAGAATTCATTCTTCACTTCTGGCATATTGTAATCAGGTGGTGCATAGGCGGATACGACGAACAAACATCGACACTTTATTCTGTAGCTGTTGATTCGTACTGAACTATCCAGACGTACAGTGCAAAGTCGGCTACTAACCGGGATCTAGTCGAGAAGTGAACGCTCGGTCTTGACACTCAGCGCGATCCCAACACCAGCAACACCGCGAGGTTCGGAAGCCAAATCACCTGGCACACGGAGAGTGAAGCGTGAGGATGAGGTTGAATCTGGAGAAGACAAGGAAATGATTGAAGTAGGGTCTTGTATGTGCGTTTCGGAGACCCAGCATACAACTAAATGGAAGGTTTCAAGGGTTCTAGCTAGGGCAGCTTGTTGACCGATCTGGTATAGTATGCGGACATTGAGTGTAGCTAAATGAAAGGGGGATTTTGGTTTCAAAAATCTGATAGCCTCTGGGTGGTTGCCCTTATTAGTTGAACGCTGAATGATATCCGACGGGTCTTGTAAATAGGAGGCATCTGGGATCATTTGGAACTGAGAAGAAGCACTAGAGAGATGGAAAATATGGGTTTTCAAATGCGTACCTAAGACTTTAGGGCATGACATACTTCGCTGCAGCCCACACTACCGAAGGGGGTTTTCTTTGGGAACCCTAATCGGAGCCTTTGACTTAAAAGTCTGGCAGATGAATAAGATAAACATCAATGGCATCATTGTCAACAACATGGATCCGGTGGCAAGCGAAAATGGGAATGTTAATAAGAATAACGTGGGAAAAGAATCAAACATTGATGAACAGGACTGTCGAAATAAGCATAGTAGGTAATGGTAAATTAAACGCTTCCTCCAGTTTTAGAAGTGATTCTGTGATTGTGGTCCTACCAACCGGACAAAAGGCGACATTCTCCTTAAAACTGAGCCAACCCCCTAGCTTTAGAACGTAAATCCTGTCTTCGAACAGCATACTTAACTTAAAATGTGCGAAACGAGAAATAATCGCACTTCGTTAGAAGCACAAACAGTTCTCACTGTCCTTCAGCAAAAAGAAACTATTGACTCGAAGTCTTGCAAAACACCAGAATCACCGACAAAACAAGGAACTGGACGCGCAATCAGCAAAGGCCAAAGATCATCCTGTGAGAACCGAACTGAGCTCAGTTTCCCCTGTCCGATAATCTCGTGCACTTCCAAAACAAAAAAATCGAAGGACTCTACCCGAAGGAACCAGAGGGTAATGATTCCTATGATTTAAGGTCTCATGTGCTGCAATCTAAAGTTCTGAGCTCAATTATTAACCCGCTTAATGAGCAACCGAAACATGGATTCACACAACCATTGGAGGAAGGCAAGGAATAAATTATATGATTGTAAACAAGATNTGAATTACCTAAAGATTCAAGAAGTAAATCACCGGTGTTAGGACATGATGCGAATGAATTAACTGTACAATAGAAGAAACGAACAATTACCTTCCTTTCCATGATATTTTGGTAACCAAATAGCAGTAAAGCTCTCTGTTATGTTGCATACAAGAACGGCGCATGTCACTAGGCTGAAAGTAGTCAAACAGTGCGTCAGAAAAACAATCCGTACCATAATGCGAGCATTTAACTAGTGATCAAACAGGTGGAAAACCGGTAGCGCTGCACATCAAATTTCTCGACAGATGTCATGCGTCAAGGTCAGGTCAGGTTGCACAGGGCACAGGGCTAAATATGTCTTGAAGTCTTGAAGTCTTGAAGTAGTACTCGGGTTTGAGGCATGCGCCCAATATTCCCGGTTCCGGATTTGTCTTCTTTTC